TCACTTTCTATTTAGTAATTCACTCAGAGTACGTATTAATACCTGGGGGAGCAAACAACTGTGCATATCTCTCTATCAGTGTTATAGAGGGCGAACAATTTATGAGTTTGCCCTGCATAAGCTTTATACAGGATAAAACAGATTTATTTGGGTTTAGACCCCATTGGGAGTTGGGCATCTGAGTGCTAAAGACAAGGACGCTACTGTGAGCTGTTTTCAGGTAAACTTGCAGCTTTGGGACAGGAGATTCAGACCCTGGATCTGTGTCTGGAGCCAAACGGGAGTGTCTGGCTCAGCAAGACAGGGTGCTGGAGTCCTGAGCTGGCGGGAAAACGGAAGCAGGGGTAGTCTTTGCACATCGGGAGGCAGCTCCCAAGGGGGTTTCTGTGATCCAACCCGTCACACCTTTTGGGGTCAGGAACAATCCCATGACGCAAAGGTAGAAGTGCTGACCGTTACATTCCGGCCAGTTCTGATTAGGCAGCATATATTTATCACTCATGACCTGCCTCTTGTTATTTCAGTTGGATATAGTACGCTTCTTTCCCTTTTAAACTGTTATGTGATGTTCTGGTGTTACACAGTGTTGAAGGACTGACACATCCCTCCCCAGAGATGGCTGCGTTTCAGTGGTGGGTAGTGAGAGTAGTTGTTAATGTGCTGTGAGGCATTCTTCAGGAAGAGAAGTTTTGTAGAACAGTAGATATTACTATTTAAGGATGTATACGTGAAGGCTTCAGTAGGCTGACAGTGTCCCTTTAACAATCAGAGAACCTTTGATTACAAGCACTGAACCTTCATAATCATGTGTTAAAAGCAGAGAGAGAAGTGAGATGGAACATTAATGCTAAATCGATACCATTTTCTCTTTGGATTTTCACAGTTGCTGATCTTTCACTGTTGGTGTTTGTCTCCATTTTATGGCCATTTAACTTACCTGAATGTTTCGTATGAAGGCTACTGTCACACGTTCTTCAAACTCATTAACAGGAGTATAGAGATTTAATATTTTTACAATCTGTTGGAAACAAAACAACAGGGTTTTAGATGGCCAGCAGCAGCTGAACTTCTCAATGGCATGAAGCGCCGCTACCCAGTTTCTTGATGTTGCCACTTTTGTAGAATTTTGCATCAGTCTCCATATAGGAGACAGCTAAGGCGTGTAAATTGAGGAATGGTGGGGGTGCTCCTTCATGTCATTAGAGAAGGTTGTGAACTAACCATCTTAACTTAGTGTAAATACTTAGAATCTCAAGAAAGCTGAACAGAACTGAATGAAGAGTAATAGGAAAACTTGTACGTAGAAAATAGGAGATGAGTGTCTACAACATTCATCTTTGAATGTCATTAAACCACCTGTGGGCGAGCAACCTGAGTAATGGCACGAGCATATGTCGAATTTCTCGTGCTCCCTTGTTCCCTTCCTGGTGCATGTTATGTCCTCAGGTATCTGTCAAGTCCACCTTTTACAACAGTACTTGCCAACTGGTGGGTCTCCACCTACAGGTGGGTTTGTGATGGGGACACCTGAAAGGTTGCACCACATGTGCATTAAGATCCAGGAAGACTCTGGATAGACAACTTGCTCCCTCCTTCATGCTCCTTCGGCCACACCCTTTCTGGTTTTAGCCCAATCCTGCTGCAGCTCCTCATCCATGGCTCTCAACCCCCTCCACCCACCCACCCATTCCACTCAGCTGCTGTGGAGGACAAGTGTTAATTCCAAAGGCTGCACAGACGGTGGTGGAGGGAGGATTAGAACACCCAGCACCCCACACTACTCCTCGCTTCCACTGTTTGTCAGATAAAAGGGTGTACAATTGAATATTGAAGATTAAGGACCTGCTCCACTGAAGTCTACAAGAGTTTTGCCATTGATTTAAATGGAAGCCTGATCAGACCCAATGAGCAACTGATACATTGAAGTAGCAGTTCTCAACCTTTTGTCACCTCAAAATCTACTCATGAATTCTTGCTCTGAGCACAATTTTTTAGGATAGAGTGGGCCTTGATAAGAAGCTGCTTGTGGATGCTGGGTCACAAAGACAGAACCACTGATTTATACTTTAAGCTCCTCAGGGTAGGACCCTGGCTTTCATGGTCTACGGACGTCCCTAGCAAAAACAGTGGCACTGTGGAACATTCTATGTAATATGATTCTAGTATTGTCACTCTGAATGTCTGAGTCAGTGTGAAGCAATGCAAACAGTTACAAGCATGGTTGAGAACTCTCTTTGTTCAGAATATTACCAGGCTAAATCATCACTGGGATTCACAGTCTGTTACAGTCTGATTTTTACGTTCTCAGCCATTTTGACTTAACTAATTACACCCATGTGACAGCAAGGCATGCATCTATACCGTGCCACAAGTCCTAGACCATTGTGATATCAGAGGCTACTCAACCAATTGCCATCCTTATTCTACAGCTAGTTTGCATACAAGTGTTTCATTGTATGAGAGAGATTGCACAGATGATGGATTATGGCCCAATTGCCACACCTATATGACAGCACAAGCTTTCAGCTACTAGGACTGAAAAACAATGACATCATCTGAAAGCTCAGCTACAGATGTCAGTCCCTAAAAGAATATTCTATATTGTAAAAGAATATTCCATGTTGTAGCATGTGTCTTGACATCTACACGCTGCAGTGAAAGAGACTGGCCTGTACACAGAAGGGATGACGTGGGAGATCTCACCTTTTCTCTCTCCCGTTTTGTAATGAGGGGTCCCAGAGGCATAGATTTCTGCTCTACTCCTCTTTCCTTCCCTTCCCATTAAATACACTTCTTTGTAACGTTCTTGTGAAGTCTGGTCCAAAAGAAACTCAGAGCTTTTATTCTGGAGGCCTGTAACACTTACTGGCAAATGGTTTGTTCATTATCTGCCAAAGGCAAAGCTGGAAGGCAGCCCACAGGCCAACAGTAAATCAATTTTGAGGCACCACTGCTACAGATTTGTAGACGATTCTTGTTATTACGTGAGATATCTCTACTGCTCAAAATAGCAGGATGGTTTTCTTACATTTTTACAGAATACCTATTGCATTTAAAAGAAGTATCACTCACTATTCAGCAGAACTGTTAGTTATGAGGACCGCCCCACAAGTGTTTTCTCCCATTGTAGCTGCCTGAGTTGTGTATGTTTCTGAAGCAGGTGGGATGGTCCTATCTAAAGCTGGAAGCGGTGGAGGTGGCATCACCATCCAGGGAAGTCACAGCTGGGCCCTGAAGCCACTACTAACGGAGGAAGAGGAATTTGAAGTGGGGGCGGCTGACAGAGATGTGTGTGCATTACCCACAGCTGATTCATGGATCCTGATCCTACCCTGCACAGCAAATGTAGAGATTACCTGTCAGGAGAGTTAGAGAGCTTGGCAGCTAGTTTCTTGGCAGCAGTAGCAGCTGGGAGGGCAGGATGTGACCAGAAAATTACTCAAAAAGGGTATGTCCCACCCAGCATGTGACACTTGAGGAGTACCATGTCCTAAAGCATCCTTACTGCTGTAATGCATGGGAAAGAACTCGCACCTGTTTCATAGCAAACATGTCCTCCAGTCCCTTACCTGCTGCGTAGAGAGGGATGTACATAAGGAACAGATAGCCTCAGCATCTTCTGAAGTTTTCTTTTTGAGCTGAAGCAGTTGTGCTGCCTGGATCAGGGGTTCCACTGTCTCTGCTGCTCCACTCTGTTGCAAATTCTTCCCACGCAACCATTCCTCCAGCTGGCTTATGTTATACCTGGCCCCACACAAGTAAGATGTCAGTTGAAAGTTTCCTTCTGAGGGCTCATTTACTAGTTTAAGAAACATTGCGTTGCTGGAACGAGTGGAGTTTTTGATGCAGATGTGTGATGCGTACTGATTAAGTGGTCTTGAGAACCAGTACAAACTCCTGGACTCCACAAAACCACAGGAGAATATTAATAAAGTTACGGGCTAGATTTTATCTAGCTGTGTAAAGGTAGAAGGGCACAAGCAGCTAGATTTTCAAAGGTATTTAGGTGGCTGGTGTGGTTTTGAAAAGTACCTAAAAGCAAGTTAGGCACCTAACTTCCATTGATCTCAATGTGAGTTAGTTAGTTAACCTGCTTAAGTGCTTTTGAAAATCCCACTAGGAGTCTAAATACCGTTGAAACTCTGACCTGAGGTGCCTCCCCCAAACTTCGGTGCCCAAGCACAGTCCTAGTCTTTCTGATCTCAGCATGCAAGCAAAATATCATTAGGAGTTTGTTTTTAAATCATCATTAATGTTTATCACAAAAAGCAGTTGAAGGTTTGTGCCATGGCAGGTAAATTTTCATTGCTGTTTTGTACGGTTGCACTAAATGGAATTCCCATAATCACAGCAAATTAAATACCTATTAAGATAGATACTAGGCACCTGGAGCTGATTCTGTAATCAGATCCATGTGGACAGACCCTTGTGCCTGCATGGAGCCCATCAGAAGTCAACAGGGATATACGCACAGGCTCATAGGTCTGTCTGCATGAACCTAATAGCCTCAGATATTACTATGGTGGGCACGTTAGAAATGTCTGTGATACCGCAGTACAGATGGGCACTGCAAAGAGCATTTAAATCAGAAACACAAAGCGAACAATCTGTTGCAGTTATTATGCAATTGGAATTCACTTTATATTCTGCTCCTTCCTTCCTGCTTTTATTCCTGGACTTTTGTGGTTTCTGATGCATTCCCTGTTTTATTTCACACAGCTTTGCTGATCCCATAAAATTCCCTCCTTATTTCTGCTGGAATATTTAGTCTACTACCTTCCCCCCTGTACAAATTAACAAGTTGCCTGTATATAAGCAGGTGCCCTCCCATCACTGTCTCAGCCAATGTCCTACCTGAGCTGCATACCAGTGCTCCACGAACAGACATCTTTTCTCAGCAGGAGGTTGTTCAGCGTTACTGCACTGATCATGTAGAAGAGCTGCTTGAAGACTTGCTGAATAATCTCCGGGTCCAAGCCCTGGTCACACATGATGCTGTGAAACGTATTCAGTTGGCGAATGACTGCGTCTAAGCTGTAAGAGTTGTCACCATCTACCATGCTGGATGATCGGTTCCTGTAGCCCATTGGCTTCACGCCTGACAGACCCTGGATGCTCTCACTTTCCAACATTGCAGACACTGGGGGGGAAAATTTCAGAAAGGAATGGGGACAAGGCCTACATTTCCCTATAAGTCACCAGGAATGATTTGTTAGATTACCTGTAATCTGTGGTTAATTTTATGTAGTTGCTAATATGCTACATTCTACAAAACAAGACAATATTATGGCCTAACAGTATGAGGAAATGACTGGGATCCAGGAACTCTCAATTTCTAATCCCAGCTCTGCCACAGATTACTTCTGTGGCCTGGGGAGAGTCATTAACATCTGTAAATGGGGATAACTAACTTACTGTACTTACCTCGGCAGCGTACTTCAGTTAGGAAGATTAATTAGTTAATAGCTATAAAGTAATTTGAAGGTGAAAAGTCCTATGTATTAATGTTAAGAAGAATTTACTTAACATACTGTGAAAATTACAAATACCTCTGCCCAGAGCTATAATAAACTCTCCTTTTAGTCCCAACCTGTAGCCTTAATCAAGTCTACATTTAAAGTGATTAAGTGGCTGGGAAAGAAGATTAAAAGAAATAAATCTGTATCCATTGGCTAAGTAATGATTAATGGAGGGATATGACACGTCTCTCCAAGGAGCAGAAGGCTGCACACGCTGAGATGGTACAGTCCGGTACAAGCAGGTATAGGTAGGAGGGGTGTGGTAACAGTTTTAGAAGAACATAGTGTAAACATTTCCTAACAGTCTCCCAAGGGAAGTGGTGGAAACCTCATAGCTAGAGAATATATATTGTTGAAGGGAGAGTCCTTCGCTGGCAGAAAGATGGACAAAGTGACTGAGATTTTTGGTCCTACAGTTGCACACAAACTTCATATCTATGTCAGTGCCTGGAATGGAGGACTGGGATTAGAAACAATGTCATAGCTCCATTTCTTGGCACTACCAGCTCCCCAAAAGGAGGAGGAAGACAGACTATTCCATCACTGGGAAAAATCCCATTGACTTTCCCTTCAGTTCAAGCACTGTCTCATTCATGAACTTTATAAATAAAGCCACCAACCACACTGGCCTTCTCCAGAGCACTAGGGATATATTTCTTAAACTGTTATCTGTTTTATGCCACCACATGCTTTTGTTTGGGTGAGAAGAAGTGTTGCTAACACAGAGCAAAGGTCTCATATACACCTTCACATAATATAAATACCCCAAACATACCTATCATTGGTTGCAACATGCCTTCTGCTATCTTAAAGAGCTGCTGATAGATCTGAATGGAGAGGTCACTTAAAACCTGCCGGTACTCCGTGAGGTCAAAATTCTTAAGACAGTGCTCATTCTGCTTAGCGGTATTTTGTGTCATAAAACCCTAAAAACAAAACAAAACAAAAAGAGAGACCAACCCCCCCCGTTCTGTTATTCCGCCTAATAACAGTCCACTGACATCACTGCATAAAGGCCTGTAAAAGTAAATGAAAGTGTAATGTTTCTAGAATGCTACCTACTGTAGATTTTGGTCTTAACAGTTGAAAAAAAGATCAAGACTCAAAAAATCACCTACGATTATTCAACAGCTTATTCATAAGTTATTTGAATTTTTTAAAATGAAATATCATTAAGTAATCAGCTTCATTTTAATTTCAGCAAGGGGAAAGGAATGCCAATTAATTAAAAGATAAAGCATGTTTCCCACTGAATTGAAAATGACTGTTTCAGTTCCCTGTTAAACACTAGGCTACCCATTTGTTATATCATGAGCACATACTTATATAGAGCCACCAGGAGCCACATATGTTAATCTTCAACTTAAAACTTCTTTGTAAGAATGGAAATATTTGCATGATAATAAAATATTTTGACCTCTTGGTTAACTTATGAATTATACACTAAAAAACCTGATTTTTCGCAGGTGTCTCCCAAAGTTTTCAGCTCTGCTTTAAATAAACAACTTGAGAATTCCCCTGCAGAACTGGAATTAATTTGCAAAGTGGACACCATCAAATTAGGCCTGAATAAAGACTGGGAGTAGATGAGTGATTACAAAACCTAATTTCCCCCATACTAATTTCCCCTACTGTTACTCACACCTTCTTGTCAACTGTTTGAAATGGGCCGCTCTCATTACCACTATAAAAGTGATTTTTCCTCCCTTGGTATCCTACTGTTAATTGAATTGTCTCGTTAGACTGACCTCCCACTTGGTAAGGCAACTCCCATCTTTTCATGTGCTGTGTATTTATACCCGCTACTGTATTTTCCACTCCATGCATCTGATGAAGTGGGTTCTAGCCCACGAAAGCTTATGCCCAAATACATTTGTTATTCTCTAAGGTGCCACAAGGACTCCTCGTTGTTTTTGTTAAATGCAGTACTGCTACAGAGACAGCAGAGGGCATACAGAAGCACAAACCACTGTTACTGACCAAGCCTTACCCATACAATTCCTTTCATACTATATACAAATTATTGGCTATACAGTGTCTCCCACATTAGATTCTACAGAAACTTGACAGATAATTTGATTCCAAGGAAATATTGGGCCTAAACAAATATTCTTGCCTGTATCCTTTGAAGCGTGACGGCTGGCTATGTTTAACACAAATCGAGAGTGAATTAGAAGGAAACTACACAAGCATCTCTATGTTCCAAATTTTGGTACCATAGTATATGGCTGTACCTAAAGTAGTGTCAACATCCCAGTGGACAGGTACCATATAAATATTTTTTATATTACCAGAACTGCGATAATCTGATTTGAACACAGATTATCAAAGTTGATTGACACTAAACTGAACAGGTGTGAAAACTGTGAAACTGTATCAAGAAGACTGGTATAAGAGATTACCTCCTCCCTGAAGAAACTTTACATTATGATTAATAGTTTTTGAAATCTCGTGCACCTCAGAAGTTCAGAACTAATTGAGCACAATTTAAGAAAAAGCAGTAACTTTCAGAAAAAAATTTAAACCCATTTTTTTCTGTTTAAAAATCATCTTAATGAAGGGCCCAATCCTGCAAACTGACTGCACTGAAGTCAAGGGGAGGGCTCTCAGTATTGGACCCAAAAGAAGATTTTTTCAATCACAGAACAGCTAATTGTGAGTTTGACCTTTGAACATTGCTAGAACTAGAGGGAAAAGTTTTAAACTAAGGGACTGATATTCTACTGCAACAAGTTTTACACCAGTATTCCTCTACGAACTTCACAGGAGCCACTCCTGAGTGACACCAGAGTCAGTGAGCAGAGACTCGGGCCCTTGTTGTAAGAATCTCTCAAAGCTTTTTAACATTTCAGCACAATTATTGATAGTTTAACATCCTAGTTTGACCCCAGATATGGGGTGCCTGGAGATGAGCACTTAAGTGGAATGAACAAGAGATTTCAAAACGGGGTGAACGTTTTTCCGAAGCGCTGTTCTTTACATAAATGTCTCACCGTATCCCCGCTGTACTGCTTTAGACAATGTAAGAGGCGACAGGTGTTAGCCAACCAAAATGACGTCATCTGAAAGTCATCATTGTGTTTCTGTGAAGAGCAAAATTAACATGTGAGATTCCTCTTTGGCATATGAAGCTGGTTTATTCGGACAAGGTGGTTGTCCTAATAGCAGAACTATAACCCTGTGTACAACACATGCAATGAATGGCATGCTATTTTCATTCCTGCATGAAATCTCTGTTACCTTCTGTTACCATGGCTGCTACTAAATTCTGCTCTTAATTAGAGCAGTGTAACTCCAGAGTAATTCCATTTGAGTCACTGAAGTTGCTCTGAATTTGCAACAGTGCAGCACAAAGCAGAACGTGGCCCATATAGTAAGATTAGCTAATCAAATCACATGCTTCAAGGTATAAACAAATCACCTGCATGGATTAGGAAGGATTCTTCACCAACACGTATGACACTGTTCATTTGGTTAGATGCATTGTGTTAGTTTGTTTTGCCATTCTCTGAAGCATGAGATATAGGCCACTGACAGAAACAGGACACTGGATTTGATGGTCTAATAGCTATGTGAGACATCAAGAGATGTGGCATTGAGCATAAGTTTAACCTGTATCGCTACTGTATTATATCTGACGTGCCCTAGGGCCTCACTCTGAGAGCGGAGCATTCTGTTTAACAAAGAGCTTCCTTAACCTGCAAAAGCTGAGAGGCACCACTGTGTGGCCTAGTGGATTGAACACCTGCACAGTCACCAATAATTTTAAATTCCAATCCTACTTTGACAACGCACTCGCTGCCATCAGGCAAATCACAACCTCTCGGTGCCTCTGTTTTCCCATGTACAAAATGGATATAAACCCACCTCCCTTACGAGGCAGGCGAAATAGCAATTCGTGTTAGTACAGCAATTTGGAAATGAAAAGCACGACAGAAGTACTCAGTATAATTCATAATTCCATTTTTGTAGTTCTTTACTGTAGTGCAGCTAAACCCTGGAAGATTCTTTGGCTAAGAACTGAACGTTAATTAGGATGAGATGGCCCTGCTTGTTCTGGATCTTTAATGATTCATCCCACTGCAGAAATTTCATTCTTTGTCTTTGCTTGAAATGAAGCAGGGCCTAGTTGAAAGAGATTGGGAGAAACGGTTATAAATCAGAGTCTATTTTGGGCTGGAGTGTCGTGGACATTAAAGCGATATGTGACCAGCACATTAGGTTATAGCACAGGTACATAAAAGAGCCAGCCTCCCCTGTTCTCAATTCAGGTGATTTAAGAAGCAAAAGCCAGAAGGGAAGTAAAACAATGAGTTAGCAGGTCAGGAAGCCAAAAAAGAGACTAGTGGCAGAATTAGTTGTGTTCTATGGATGGTTCACTCACTGAGCATCTCTCCTATCTGTAGAAAAGTAATTTACATCTAAGGGCTGCTCTACACTGGGGGGGGAAGGGGAGGTAAGGTTCGAGGTAAGGTACGCAACTTCAGCTACGGGAATAGCGTAGCTGAAGTCGACGTATCTTATTTCGACTTACCTCCTGTCCTCATGGCGCGGGATCGACGGCCGCAGCTCCCTTGTTGACTCCGCTACTGCCGCTCGCCCTGGTGGAGTTCCAGAGTCGACGGGAGCGCGTTCGGGGATCGATATATCACGTCTAGACGAGACGTGATATATCGATCCCCGATAGATCGATCGCTACCCGCCTATCCGGCGGGTAGTCTGGATGTACCCTAACTCTTCGATGATTTTTAAAACCCACGTGTACTGGGACAGTTTTATTATCTATATTTAGTTGACTTTAAAAGAAAATCCCAGAGTAAAACAAACAGCAATAATCAATGGTAATATCATCATGTCAATATTATACTCGGGGCATGAGTTTGTTGAATATTTGCATGATTGCCATCTGAATCTATAAAATGAGACATCTTTAGGTACCTATTTCAACCTCAGAACTAGAGTGTTACATCACATGCAGCCCCAGAGCTCATTTTAATACAAAGACGACATACCTTTAATACTTTCTTAATGCCGTTTATGGTGGAGGTGAGTAAGGAGTGCACTTTCTGGTCGTCATTGATGTAATCTGCATGCCTGATGCACATGTATAGGATGTAAGCAGGAAGACATGGAACTGTGGCAGAAACTGTCTGCGGTTTGAGATCTAGAAGTGGAACAAAACAAAAGGGAGTCTTCTTACAACCTAACTTTTGTTAGCTGAGCAGGAGAATCAGAAACAGTAGAGATGTGTGGAAACCAACATCCCACACATCTGGGAAAGATCAGTACCGAACATTGCAACTTAAGCTCATCTCTGAGAAATTCCTGAACTTCTTGAAAATGCTTCATACAAGTTGCCCCGCTATCATGTACAGAAACCACTCCAGAAATACCATCTACAAAATCTACTCTTCATCAACATGCTGAATCAGGATAGCGCGTGGTGGCATTTACTAAATATTTAATGTGAAAGCAGGGATTGCCCAAAGAGGAGGAACTTTAAAAGTTACTGCTGTGATCTGGTACCATTCTTCATTTACTTTTTGTAGAGTTTCATTAAACGCGGGTGTGATAACAGAAATCATAAACACTAATGCGTAGTGAGGCAAGTGTGACAAAAACCTGAGTATTGGATGGTGGAGCATGTGCCAGCAGTGGCTCCAACCAAAGCCTTCAGCATAAGTAGCGCTCAAGAAGCTGCATATTGCAGAGACCTCAGAATGGCTTAGATGACAAAATGTTTCTGTTCCACAGGCCTACAAGAGGCTGAAGGTCTGTATTGTAATTTCCCTTTTCCATGTGTCAACCCATCATGGTGTAACGTTGACAATTATTGCCCACTTAAGGAATTACAGCTTCATTTTAGCATTTTCAATGCATTGTCATCCTTGAGTAAGAATTATATCTAAGGACAACAAAAGAATGAGACAAATTGGAGGTGAATTTGTCACTGGTGTAACTCCATTGAAGTCAATGAATTTCCTATGAAGGCATGAATTCTGTCCATACCGTTTTAGAACACTAAACGGCACTGAATTGAAAGCACACTATTAAGTGGAAAGGGAAAACACGAGGATGGCTGCTTATATGAGAGAGTTGGATAAAGGAGGTTCTTGATCTGACCACTCTTGTTTTTCATTCTCTCTTTCGGGGCTCAGTGCTGCAAGGTTCTGAGCATCTCGCGCAGGGGCCTCTGGACACTCACAGTTCTAAGCAAACACACATGGTGCTGGGCTTCACCTAGAAATAGTTCCAGATTTCTGGGCCAGGGGAATCTCAAGTCCTGTGTCACAGATGCTGGTTACTATTTGTTGGAAGACTATCAGAAGTGTGGCTAATTACCAGTCCCTCAGGGGTTTGCTGGGCAGTTTGAAGGGATTATTCCCAACACTGAAATCAACATGATTTAAAAAAACAAAAACCCTCCAAAACCCTTTGTTTTTATAAAATTCTTGAAACAGTTTGAGAGATTTCCCCTGGCACTGTCGGTGCTGCCCGTTCTCAAACATAATGGAACTCTTCACAAGTGAGGAACAGCATTTATGTGCCGCCAAACCCATTTCTAGTATGCTACTATTTACATGGTACCAAAAGTGTGCTAAATGTGTGAAGATATGGGGCACAGCACTGAAGAGGTTCAAACAGGGGCTACCAACTCCAGGACACCAGATTTACTTCACTGATTTGGAGAAAAAAAATCCTCTCTTCTGGAACAATCACTTTTCCTTGAGTCTGTATTATCCTCTAATTTTTGGATTCATAAAATGAAAGTCACAGGTTCCCTTTACAAATTATATTGAGAAGCTTCAAATTTGTAAATTCAAAGTGGGAGGAACCTCCATCCTTATCCTTACCCTCCCCCTGCTTACAAGGACATGCACACATAAGATACCAACATAAAACAGAAGCTATTAATATATAATATAAACCCAAGCGAGGACTCAAGGTTGGTTTATTTACTGCTTACCCTGTGCTATATCTGTGCACATCAGAAATAACTGTGCTCATTTACTCTAACAAAATACTAAATGAATGAAACATTCCAGCACTTGCTTTTCAGGAATGATTGGAGAATCAGGTACAGAACCCCATTGCTATTAACCTGAAAACAAATTTTGAAGTCTGAAAAAAGAAAGTTATAATCCGTAAAACACACGATCCGTTCTTTTCTTTGTAATTATCGACTTCAGACAATTTAATCTAAGGGGAAAAAAAGTCAAAGCTAGCTGAGAATTTATGCCCTATTCAATAAAGCACTTAAACACGGGTTGAAATCCATTCTTATTCTGCAAAGCACTTAAGCACATTTTGAAATCGTTTTCTGAATCAAGGTCTTAGCTAGGTAGCTGAGTACCATATGCCTTTAATATGCTCAATTTAGAGAGGTTTTACAAATATCAAACTATGTTATACCTTGAAATAAAGCAAACAAACTCATTTGAATGGTTAAACACACACACACACACACACTATATATATCTATCTCCTGGAGTGATACAAAAATAAATTGGGTTAGTATTTCATATTTTAATGGTTTAGAAGGAAACGGGAGAGGGAAATGGAAAGAGAGGCAAATAAGGTCCTAACCTGTAATGAGGTTTCGGATGAGAAGTGGCTCATCTTCCTTGTAATATTCCAACATTCCCTGGAAATCTTTTTCCTTCCGTTGGACAGTGACCTGCCTGGTAAGCTCATGTCGCCTCCTCTCTGTCTGTGCTGTAGCTTGGGTCGCTGTGATGAGAAAGAGACACAGCTGAATGAATCACCGAGCGCGGTACTTCCATGATAACTATGCATTACAGGTCTGATCCAAAGTCTGTTGAAGTCCTTTGTGTCTTTCCTTTAACTTTAACGGCCTTTGGATCACCCCTGTGTGAATGTGTGACATGAGTTTGTTATAATATTAGCTGCTTTAGATAGACAGATAAAGGACCAGAACCATAACTTGAACTCCTCATTCGGGCAGAACTCTCACTGACAAAGTAAAGGGTACAAGATAAGGCCTAAAAACCTACAAACATTAGTTCCTTTAATAAATGTAAGATTCACTGGACACTATTCAGAAGATGGTGACCTTACTGGAATCTTATGAACGTATTACTAACACTAACAAAAGCCAGGCTTTGGGAAAATATGCGTAAGCAACATATCTTGTCGCAGAATGCACAGCAAAATTAAAAACTACCGTGTCACGCTGCTGAGGATTGTACCTACATACAATTTTAATCAAATGGAAAATTATGAAGGCCTAATGCAAGTAATGGTAAATGTCAGTCGGATGCATGTAAATTACAGTGACAAAAGCCATCTGCGCCAGCTGTGTGAAATTCCCTGTTTATTCAGCTTAATTTCACTTAATGTCTAGTTTTCTGAAATCAGTTCATAAAATCAGAGCACCATAGTTTATCACTGTATCCAGTGAGGAAGAGAAATAGTTTCTATGCCATATAGATCTCTTGTCTCCATATTATTTTCTCATCAAACTTGGGGCATTTTTCAACAACCTTTCTAAATATCTTTAATCCCCGTGTTAGTCACAGAACAGAACTACTTAAGAGTAGGTGGAGTTTCCTTTTGAAACACTACGTCAGCCACAATACACACTGCATTAAAAGAGCAAGGGCCACTTAGAGTCATTAAAAGGACCGTTTCAAATCCCACATCATGTACCAAATATGTCAGGTAAATGCCTTCTAGTAAGAGCTGATCATCCACTCTCGCCTCAATTCTGTGGATGATTTATCAGGTTTAAGATGATCCACATCAACAAATCCAGGATCTTTGGAAGAGGTTGACCATACAGGGACTGACAACGTCCACTGAAGACAATTGAAAGATTTCAGCATAATTTGGGAAATAACTTCCCAGTTATCTCCACCCTTTGGTTTAGGGCCATACATTGAGGATGGATGAGGTGACTGACTGAAGTTTTTTTTATCATAACGGTAACTGAAACTAAGGTTCAAAAGTGCCCTAAGCATGGCTTGGGGTGGGGTGAGGGAGGTTAATAACGTGGGACCCAATTCTGTTCTTTCACACCAGGCCAGATCTCAGTCCATTGAACTCAATGACTTCACCCATACAGTAAGGTGGAATGACACAGAATTTGGCCATTGGAGCTGAAGCAGAAGTTCTTGTGCACATCCATCTGAAGAGCAATGCATACATTTCACCTGTGTCCAGCTGTTCCACTATAGAAAGCTGCTGGGCTCATCCCCTGCTCAGAGTATTGTACCAAAATAGAATACAGAAGAATTACAATTGGAGAGCCCACAGAGACTCACTGGGCAACAGAGAGCTTTGTGGCAGCTGCAGAACAGAGTCTCCATTTGTTATGCTTATTATATGCACGCCAAGAAGTTTGACTCCTCCCTCTTGCTCTGAAGCCAGGCCTCCTCCATGAAGAATGAAGCTTTGAGAAAGAAAACCTATTCGATGACCTGCATTGAACACCTAAATTACTTGGAGAAGAAACTGGTGACTAGTTTGTAGGATGACAAAGAAAAAAGATGAGGAGTATCTGACAAAAGTGTTAACTTTTAATTACATTTAGTAAAGACAGACATAATTCTGAACGAGATCAAAGAAGAAAGAGCCTAAAAAAAGTCTATGATGATGGCTCTAGGCAAATACTTTTGTGACGGTCATAGCACTAACTCCAAATCCCAAATGTTGCTATGGAATATGGGGGCTGGTATCTGGTCCTGATTGCCTGCATGCCTTTTGAGGCTAGGCCTGCATACATAGGAAAGAATGTCATTGAAACACGTAGCTGAATGGGCAGTGTAACAGTAATGAAGAAAGTGCCTTAAGACTTCTGAACAAAGGTCCCAAAGAAGGAGCTGGGGGACGAATAGGAAGCAAACTCATTGTTAGACATCTGAAATATGGAAGATGAACTACAGAAGAGGATGGTGCTATTTCCTAGTTATGCTTCAATACTATAGAAAACCTGCATACAAATAAGAGGATAATCCAAGGAAACCCATCCTGAAAGGTGAAAGAAGGATGGCCAAGGAAACCTAAGCTACGTGTAATGGCTTGTAATGCTACATGTAATGCTAATGTAGTGTGTGGAGTATAAATCTACTGTGCACCAGCAAGCTGCGCACTAACTGTCCATGTAGACCCTCCTACTGCACACTATAAATTCCCTAGTGTTCTTTGACATACGCCCGCTTCAAAGTAGAGTATGTCACAGCACACTAGGGAACTTCTAGTGGGCAGCAGCAAGGTCCACATGGACAGTTAGTGTACAGCACACTGTAGGTTTACACCACAGTTTGCTGCACACTCACTGTTCATCTAGACAAGCCCCTAGAGTGCTATAGGGGAAGAATAAGGATTAAATGGATAGACCACCCTAGGGGATTCTTGAGGCCTAAAGAAATGCACCTCCAGGTGCATGTTTAAAAAGTCCAGTATAATAGCAGCAATGTGATGGGTTGTGATCTTTAAACTCCTTGTTCCATAGTCTCTAGGGCTGCAAGTTCAATGGGTCAGGAATCCTCAGGAGAAAAAAAAGAATAAGGGCATCAGGATGAAGGGATTCAACCTGCTAGACGCATTTTAGAAGCTTGTGGAGGCCTGGAGAGCTCTTCTCTCTCTCAGATGAGGCAAGGGGTCTAACTGTTATACAACCAATAGGCCTAAATTGACATTTCTTCGGACATGAGCATTCAGGGCATTACTGTGACCTGGCATACACTGGAGAAGAGAAAAGGACCCAAATCATGGCCAGGTCCTAAGATTTCCTTATTTCCAACAAAGTCACTTGTTTTGCCTGGCTCTGTTGAAGTCACTAGAGTTACACCAGGGATGAATCTGTCCCCAAGACAATTTAAAAACAGGAGACATACCAAATGCTCAAGCGACAAATGTTCAGAACTTGGAATCTGAGATATGTCCAAAAACGCTTAGGTGCAAGACAAGTAAGTGCTCACTTAAAACGGGTACTAGTGAAAACAAGCTTTGATTGCCTCAAGCAGCTATCCATTTTGCAGGTGCATGTTTTACATTCGAGCACAACGAAGGTGCCAAGTTATGATTATATGACCATGAGGGTAACACCTCCAAGAAAACAGACCACAAACACACTGAATGCAGGAACGTCAAGGCCCAGATACCGTTAGGAACAGTGAAGTGAGAGTCATGCACATTGTTTCTATAGGAGAGAACTGACAGGCATGTATTGGAAGTGGGAGGAAAAGCTTCTGAGAATGACGTGCAGTGATCCTTAGGGGTGTCCATGGGACACCTACAGGGCCGGCGCTTCCATTTAGGCAACCTAGGCGGTCGCCTAGGGAACCAGGATTTGGGGGGGGCGGCAATTCGGTGGCGGGGGGATCCTTCCGCGCTCTGGGTCTTCGGTGGCAATTCTGCAGCGGGTCCTTCACTCGCTCCGGGACCCGCCGCTGAAGTGCCCCGAAGACCAGGAGCGCGGAAGGACCCCCCCCACCGCAGAATTGCCAACGACGACCGGGAGCGCGGAAGGACCCCCACCTAGGGCGCCAAAAACCCTGGCGCTGCTCCTGGACACCTACATGCTTCTCTGTGGTGTTGGGGGTGGAGACAAAGCCACAGAACAAAACCCAGAGACCTAGACTGAGCCTAGAGTAACAGAATTCCATTTCCCCAGAGAAGGTAACAAAACCAGAATTACCTTCAAAATCCTGGACCTTCTTCATGTAAATCTTTAGCTGTTTCTTCAGCTTCTTCTCATTCTTTTCTAGTTTTTCTAGTAACTCTTTGAGATCCTGAAAATTAGGAAAAAGGGTATTTAAAAAATTGCCCCACTGGCTGATCAGGACCCAGCCCTCTTGGATACAAAGACACTGAGAAGTACATATATGCTGTATTGAAGCATGTTAAAAGGTGTGTGCAAATGCAACACTCTGCAAAGCTTCCCGGAGAATAGCGGTTTACATCTCTCCATTGATAGATATTTGTACTATGATCTGGATCTCTGAAAATGTGCAGCACTTCAGGGTCAATTTCTACAGCAAAGATAAGAAAACATCTGCCTTTCAGACTTGTCATGTCCACTGCCACCTGCAGAATTCCTGTGGCCAGGAATCACCCAATCACCAGGGAGCTTGGAAGAACAGGGTCAGAATGGCACCTGTACACCCCTACCTGCAGAAAGCTTGGTACTGAAAAGTTAAAAAATTAGCCCATCTATGCACATCCAATGTTTAAAAAAACCGTATTGATTTGTCTTTGCAGAGGCCATTTCAGTCAGTGTCAGACCAATCAATCATGTAACCTGAGCTTCTTTTCAAGGAAAAGTAGAGAAAGCCTGCTGTCAAGTTTCTCCTGCACACCGGTGAGAGAGAGGGAGAAAATGGCAGCTTTCAAACAGTTTCCTACATGATGTTATTTTAAAGAACATCTTTCTTCTCTCCCTAGCAGCAACCTTCTGATTCAGAATTTATGGCGTGAGGCCCTGATGCTGTGAACTTCTGAGCTCCCTCAATTCCCAATGAATCTAGTGGGACTGAGAATGCTCAGCCTCTTGCATGTTCAGGCCCTCAATGACTGCTTTTAAAAAAGTCTTTTAAAATAATGTTGCCATGGTATTTAAAGCATGACTCTGCTCCAAGCAGTGACTCCAAAAAAACAGCAGGAGGGAGTCCCTGTTCACTGCCTTTCAGTGACTCCCATAAAAACCCTACTCAGGTTACAAGTAGACAGATTATTTTTCCTAAGGCCTGGGCTACATACATTTTTGTGCTGGTTTAATTATCTCAGGGTGTATGCAATTATTTTGGTTAAAAAAAGTCATAATGGTACAATCCCTAGTCTGGATGCAGTTTTATATCAGTAGAAAGGTGCTTTACAGCTGATTCTCCTTCCCATACAGGATTAGCTATAATGACATGCGGCACCTTTATACCGACATAATTGCATCTATACTAGTGAGGATGTAGTTTCAGCCGTACCAGTATAGTTAGAGCAGTACATCTTGTGTGTGTAGACAAGCCTGCAAACTCACCCTAGAACCTGAGAATCCCACCTCATGTACCACTGCCAGAAACAAAGCGTTTGCAGGCCAAATTAGGCCTTCAGTTATTCATGTGCTGCCTCTCACACATATAACAGGTCAGAATTTCACCCTGCAACTGGAACTTGATCATAATTTTTTTCTTTTTTGATGATTGGTGAGCGAGGCGAGAATCCAGTTCCCTCTCCTACAGTTGTGCTGACTCTGGTGGTAGCAGGAGTAAACAGTAGTAAAACTTATATTTGTCATTGAAATCAGCATATGTGATTGTGAACACCCACAGGGCACAGAAGTACTGAGTAAGGAGGTGCCTAGTCTCACTTCAGAGTAGATCTGCACTTCATGTGCTTTTTGGAAAAGAAACTCGTCTACATCTGATTCTTCTTCCTAACCTCCGTATAGGGAGTCAACACTACAAAATGAAGTCGACCTAAGTTATGTTGACATACAGCCACTGCAGTAATTACATTGCTTTTTTCATGTCCACACTATGCTCCTTGTGTTGGTGGTGCATGTCCTCCCCAGGAGCACTTGCACCGATTTAATTGTCAGGGTGGGGAATTGTGGGATGGCTTCTGAAAGGCAGCAACATAGAATCATAGAATATGAGGGTTGGAAGGGACTTCAGGAGGTCATCTAGTCCAACCTCCTGCTCAAAGCAGGACCAATCCCCCAACAGATTTTTACCCCAGTTCCCTAAATGGTCCCTTCAAGGATTGAACTCACAACCCTGGGTTTAGCAGGCCAATGCTCAAACCACTGAGCTATCCCTTCCCCGCAATGCAATGATATAAGCAATGCAGTGCCTACACTGACACTGCATCGACCTAGCTACATCACCCTAAGTGCTTCACTTCTCACAGTGGTGGAGTTATTAAGTTGGTGTAGCGGGCAAATTACATCGTCAGGAGCGACATTTTAGTATAGACACTTACAGAGCTAAGTCCATGAAAGCTGCCTTACGTCAACCTAACTCTGTAGTGTAGACTGGGCCTTGGGCTTTGTTATTCTACATCCTATATCCCCATGATATACTGCTGGTCATCCCCTCCCTTTGATGGCTATGTAAAGAGTTAATCACCCACTAAATGACTGATAGGCTCATGGTGCTGGGTTAGGATGGGCTGTTTTGTTGTCAAGGCATAAGCATAAATGCTATATATTAATCATTTGGCTGGATCCTGCTCCCATTCAAGTCAATGGCATAAGTGCCACTGACTTCAATGGAACAGGATAAGGGCTAAGCTTTTCTCCTTTATCTCTAGGGTTTGCTGCTGCTACCGTCACTGCAGGCAAGAGATGCACCTCTGCCAAGGGATGAAAGTGGAACGCCTCACACAGCGAGCAAGAGATTTTTGTTTTGCTGTATGACATACTTTTCCCTAACACAGAGGATTAAGAATGAGTTAACAGTTGCCCCCCAAATTGGTCTCATGGGGTCTCCTCTCTGAATGACTGTTTAACATCAGCTGAAGAGGAAATCATTCTTTCATCTGTCTACATGTTCACATAAATAAGCCCAGGTCTCCCGTTCCTGACTCCTCCTGGAAGTATTATGCAGTAGGTAATGATTTATAGTTTATCACCTCAGGGCTTTATTTCCTGGCTGCCATTCATATGTAAATGATTCTGACTTGTCTGTTTGAACATGATAAAGTTCTCCAAACAGACTCTCTTGAGTGAGGCAGCAGCATCTACCCACCCACATGGGCTCAGGAAATGCCAATGCTTATAAATAAGGCTACGCTTTTGGAACACAAATTTTTAATAAATTTCACAGCACAGGTGTGCAAAAGAATGAAAAGTCACAGAAAGGTCACCAAATAATGTAGTTTTTGCTACATTACCATACAGAAGACTATTGGGGGTGCTGAAGGTGAGGCACTGTGGGGAAGAGAAGATTTGGCAAGCAAGCCCACCCTGCATTCACCCTGCAGCAGCAGGTCCTAACACATGGGACGGGACCCGATTCCCTGCTCTGGGTGTTGCACATGGAGATGCAGTGCCTCTCAGGTATGGCCCATTCACCCTTCTATAGATGGAGATGGCGGGGCGGATGGGCCAAACCCAAATGGTGCTGTGACCCCGTGCACCAGGTCACCATGCCACTCAGTTTGGGGGCCTAATCAAATGTGTTTTTACAGCCATTTCCAAGATGTTACAGACTTTATTCAAATTCATGATTTCTGTGACAAAACCGTAGCCCTACTTATAAATAATGTTAATAGATTCAGAGGTTTAAGGCCAGAATGGACAACTATGATCATCTAGTCGGATTTCCTGCATAAGACGGACCATAACATTTCAGCCATTATTCCTGCTAGTGTAGGGAGTTATTCTTCCCCACTATGTATATTAAAGCGCGCAGGGCCAGACTGTGGCCTTAAGCCATTTTGCTTATGTCCAGAGAATGGCACAATGTCACTGGGTATATCACAAAATATGATCTTTTACAGCATGCAGCATGAGTTCTCCTACTCACCATCCAACCCTTATAAACCAGTGGTTCAGTGTTCTACAGCAATTGCCCACTATGTTGTTGGAGCACCACTGGGAGTGCTTGGGACCACTAGTGCATATAGCTTATGTGAAGGCAGCTCTGCTGGCTGGCTGGCTGGGTTCATATACAAGGGTGGGTGTGATGGGAGTACTTCCCATCTCACCTCTATCAACCACTGATCTGTTTTTACAACATAGGTCATGAAGGACAGTGGTTTTACATGGTCTCTTACCAGATTTTCATTTGAGAGACGTGTGATTTCTTGCTGGATGCCAAATTCCACCTGGGCCTCTGGTGGTAGCTGTAGGGTCTGGAAAAATGCCTGCTGCTGTTTCTCCATCTCTTCTCTCAGGGTTTCCATCTGGGTTTTCAGCGTTTCCACCTCCTCTTCGTGCTCTCTCCTCTGATCCTGAAGCTGGGCTTCCAGGAGCCTGATAAGAGGAGGAGTGAAGGGACCATTATGATAATCTATTCTGATCTTCTGTATTACACCGGCCAAAGTACCCCAGTAACTTCTGCATCAAGCCCATGACTTCTGTTTGAGCTCTAGCATATCTTTCAGAAAGACACCCAGTCGTGGTTTAGATTCAAGTGATGGGAAAAATGCTACGAAGATTCGTGTAGTTTTGTGGGGAGGGAGACAATTTGGTGCTATGGCCCTGGTCCACCACTCCCTGAAGTTAACTGAGGGACTCCCATTCACATGAGTGGGAACTGGATCAAGCTCTCAGTGTGCTACATGAAAGTTACACTTCTCCTACAAAGCAGTGGTAAGGTGTTTAGTTACTGTACATCCTTTGCTGAGAAACCCAAATATCTAAAGATACTTTAAAATAACTAGATAAAAAACAGCCAAGTATGAATTAGTGAAGACTTAAGCCTAGATTTAAACAACCACCAGTGATTTCAGGTGTTTCCATTTTTAGATGCCCAATCTGAAACATTTTAAAGCAGCTTGATTTTCAGACAGTGGATGCGAAGCAATTTCAGGAAATCAGGCTGCTTTAAGTTGGCTTCAGCTTTGCACCCAAACACTGAGATGCCCCAAACCACTAGTCACTTCTGAAAATGTAGGCTTAGCTTTATAACCCTTTGCAGTGGAAAATATCACACTGACTCAGATACGGCAGAAAGACTGCAAGAAGTTTCTATTTTCCATTTATTTTTTATTCTTTTCTAAGTCATCTTGAAGAATAACAAGTTAAATAAACCCCTTAGAAAGTGCATCAAAAGAAAATTGAAACTGTGGCTTGGGGGGTGGGGGGGGAGGGGGTCCTTTAATCACAAAAGGAGAAGAATTCCATGTGGATGCACAGCATGTAGTTCTGTGCAGCGATAAATTAAAGTACAAGCTGTACTTTCAGTAAAATGGACCGTATGAGCCATTTTTGCGCATTTCTCTCTCCTTTTCCTCCCACACACCTTCCTAATTCAAATGGAAGAACGATTCATCATGTAAAGGTTACTGCCCTCCTGAATGGGGCTGCACTGCTGGGTGTACTGATAAACAATGTTTGGCAAGTTAATTTATTTTTAAGGGTACCAATTATAGTGTACCAAATGGAAATCTCTCCCTTAGTGCTTTTAAGTATTCCAATAGGATCTAAACAAGATTACAAATGCTAGCAAAGTGGTTGCAGCAAGACTGAATGGTTTGAACAAGAGACTGAAAGTTACAAAGTCCAAAGATTTAGCTCTGTCTCTGCCACTGATTTCCTGTGTGGTCTTCAGCAAGGTACTTAAGCACATGCATGAAGTCTGGCACATGAGTCATCCCACTAAAGTCAAGAGAACTATGCTTGTGCTTAAATCGTAGACACGTGCTTATGTACTTTGCTGAATCAGGCCTTAATTAGGGCAGGTCAAAAAGGTTTTCTATCTAAATTGTGCTTCAACAGAAAACTTGGTTTTCAACAAGCCAAAGTTTTTTGTTTTTTTGTGTGTGTGCAAAATGTCTGCTTTCCATGGAAAATGTTGTCTTTTTGATTTTCAGCTGAAAACTTTTTAGTTGTTCTGTTTAGCGGAGTCCAACCTCCTCCCCATTTTCTGCATATGTATGCACGCACGCACACACACACTTTATATCTGTCAGATGGAGATAATAATGAACCTGACCTCAATGACATATTGTCAGAGGTTAATATTGTGTTGGGCTTGGAAGGTGCAAAACCTTCCACTATGCAGAAAAGTACAAGTATTTTCATGATGCAGTTTCATATTGGATCAGGTTAGATCTGAACCAAACACACAGACAAATATGGTCCTCTTGTAACTGCTGTTCTGAGGAATGTAGGCAGCCAATCATCCCCGTCATATTTTTCATATTATTCTCGAAAGAGCTGCTGCCCACCCTCTGATTGCTTTAAAATTGACACTACATTTTAATAAATATTACTACTACTTTCCCCCGGATAGTGCTTTTCATCAGATCATTGCACTTTACAAACACTGATGGAGAGGCTCACAGCACCTCTCTGTGAGGCAGATAAGTATTATCATCCTTGTATTACAGAAGGATAAAGTGAGATGGTAGAAAGATTAGCATGTAATTATCAGAAGTTCTGAGCACTCCAAATAGTATCAGAATTGGGAATAGGCTACTGGGAATTGGGACTCCTAGATTCTACTTTAACCATTATTCATCCTCCTAAAAGGTGATTAGTTTGGAGAAGTTGTTACAGATGCACTGTCCTTGCATGGGGGACACTGAAATTGCAGGAATCACCTACAATGTTTCCCTCTGATATATTCATCCACAAAACAGGAGTGCATTGGAATGAGTGTCGGAGGTAGTAATAATTCTCCTTCTGGCACACTTCTAGACATTGGATTAAGTGGAAAAGGAGTAATCCAGGTGAATTTGAGCATGCAAAGAGGACAAAGAAAACTACATTTAAAAAGGGACTTAGCATCCTTTCTTACACGTTCATGAACAGAGCACTTTAATACACTTTTACATAAGGAGAAGTGCAGTCAGAGCTAAAGGGACTATAATTGTGACACTTGGGGCGAAACCCTGACTCCACTGAATTCAGTGGAAGTTATGCCATTGACTTCAGTGGAGCCAGGAGTTCGTTCATAAAATACCATTGTTCCTCCCCACCAAATATAAATATCTCTAAAGCACATTCAGCCTAATCCAAAAAGGTGCTGAGCACTTGCAGTACCCACGGATAGGGTAAGGTTTCCCAGCACCTCTGGGAATCAGGTTCATGGACACAGTTTTAGTGTGGGATACAGTGATACATGCTTGCAGTAATGCTGCCGAACTGCATCCCAACCCAAACTTGAGTTGGTTGCTGTATTCCTAGAGACGGGCATGAGTGCCAAGGTTTGGCTCAGGACCACAATTTCCCAAAACCTTAGAAAGGTTCCATCTCCCCCTCAAAGTTATGGTGGATCAGCCCCATCTCCAATTCCTATTGTAAAGGACAGCGAGGCAGAGAGAGTACATATAAGCATATGGAAGAGGTGGGGAAAAGAGGAAGAAGAAAAAAGCATTTGACCTGGCAACTTGCTTTAGACCCTGATAGGCCAAGCCGAGCTCTCCATCTTCATTGAGATAGCCCCAGTCCTCAGTCTTGCTAGAAATAAAGGGCAGAGAAAAGGGAAACAAGAGGACAGGAAAGAAAGGCAAAAGGTCAATTGCAAGAGAATGGGGGAAAATAAGGAGTCCCCATTACACTCAGGCAAACTCTTTTAAAAAAAGAATAAGACTGTCATTAAGCTCTCTCTCTCCTTTGGCATCACTACTAAACTGTACATTAAGAGCCCGTCTGTATTCCTTGGTCAGAATCCTCTTCCTACCCCTGTACTATCACAGTCAAGTGGTTGTGCCCCCTTCCATGGTAATACAATAGTCACCGTCAGACTCTGCACTCCTCCACCCCCGGCACGGGTGGAGCCACTGTTGCCAGCTCACATAATTTTATGATGTCTTGTGTGATAGTTGCTGTTTTACTTCCAAACCCAGCTTCTGGAGAATCTTAGCTTTCATGTTTATAAGTGGTTAGCCTACATGGAGAAAAGCTGGGAAGTCTGAGCCAAATGAACTCAAAAGGCTCAAAAACCAGAAGGCAAATTAAGCCAACATTTACTATCTATTAAAATCTCATGATGTGAGGGGTGGGCATAACTCATCATTTTTAATGTTTGGGGTTGGCAACACTGGACTCTCAAGGTGATTGACTGAGGTAAGTAAGCAATATCATCCCTTTTCATGCAGAAAAGTGAAGCGACTTGCCCAAGATCACAAATGGAGTCAGAGGGAGAACCAGGAGTAAAACCAAAGTCTTCTGACTCCCAAACCTGCACTCAAGCCACTAAACAGTGTTGCCTGTCATGGTAGCAAACTGTGACGTTGCCAACACTGGCTTGTGACAGTCAATGTAAAACTCAGACAGGTGGGAGCTGTAAAAAAGGATAATCTACTGTCACACAAGCATCATCGTAATGGAGAAGAGTGTGGTAGTTTGCCAAATCCTACATATTTCTAATTTGGTTGAGTGAGGCCGTCACTCTCTATGGCAAAGATTTTATGGATTCCTTTTCCTGGTGGACATGGATATTATCGATCTGGAGGCAAAAGGGGAGGATAAACAGCGTAATTAAAGAGTTAGGAAAGACAGAAGGAGGACAGAGAGAAAGAGCACAAGTATTGCTGTCCAGCTGAGCCATTGCACGCTGCTCCTTCAGTCAGTGGCCATGCCCCATACACGGAAGCCTAAAGGACAATACTATGCCCAGCAGTCCTGACTGAGGATGCGGGGAAGGAAGGTCATTTGTGTTCATAGCAAAAGTCCCGGGAAGAAAAGGGAAAAAACAATGGAAGGTAAAAACAATCCAAAGAAAGTACTCAGCGGTGGTCTATTTCTAGCCCTCATTATAGCTTGGATTTTAGTAAGGCTTTTGACACTGTTTCACATGACATGCTCATAAGTGAAGTGTGGCTTAGGAGAAGGGCAAGCAAGAAAGTACCTATCTTTAAAAAGAGTACCCTGGGAATTACAGACCAGTCAGCCTAACTTTGATACCTGGAAACATACTGGAAGAAATGATTAAACAATCAATTCATAAGCACATAGAGGATAATAAGGAATTTTCTTCACTGAGAGGGTTACTGGCCTAGTGAATAGTGGGGAAGCAGTAGACATGATATATCTTGATTTTAATAAGCCTTTTGACATAGTTCCACATGACACTCTAATAAGCAAAGAGGGAAATATGGTCTAGATGAAATTACTATAAGGTGGGTCCACAACTGGGTGAAAAGCTGTACTCAGTAGTTATCGATAGTTTGCTGTCCAACTGGGAAGGCATATCTAGTGAGGTCCCACAAGGGTCAGTCATGGGTCTGATACTAGTCAATATTTCCTTAAAATCTTGGATAATGGAGTGGAAAGTATGCTTATACAATTTGCAGATGGCTCCAAGATGGGAGGGGTTGCAAGCACTTTGGAGGACAGGATTAGAATGAAAAAGGACCTTGACAAATGGGAGAATTGCTCTGAATTCCACATGATGAAATTCAATGAAGACAAGTGCAAAGTATTTCTCTCAGGAAGGAAATATCAAATGCACAACTACATTTGTACTGCTGAAAAGGATCCAGGGGTTACAGTGGATGATAAATTGAATATAAGTCAACAGTGTGATGCAGCTGCGAAAAAGGCTAATATCTTCCTAGGGTGTATTAACAGGAGTGTCATATGTAAAATATGGGAGGTAACTGCCCCACTCAAGTTGGCACTGGTGAGCCTCAGCTGGAGTATTGTATCCAGTTTTGAGCACCACACAGTTAAGAAAAGATGTGGATAAATGGGACAGTCCAAAGGAGAGCCACAAAAATGAAAAAAAGGTTTAGAAAACCTGTCCTATCAGGAAAAGTTAAAAAAACCTGGGGATGTATAGTCTTGAAAAAAAGACGACTGAGAAAGAACCTGCTAACAGTCTTTAAATATGTCCAGGGTTGTCACAAAGAGGCTGGTGATCAACTGTTCTGCACGTCCACTGAAGGTAGGACAAGAAATAATGGGCTTATTGGCAGAAACGGAGAATTTAGGGTAGGTATTAGGAAAAACTTTCTAACTATAAGGGTAGTTAAGATCTAGAACAGGCTTCCAAGGGAGGTTATGGAATCCCCATCGCTGGAGGTTTTTAAGAAGAGGTTGGACCAACACCTGTCAAGGATGGTCTAGGTTTATTTGGTCCTGCCTCAGTGTAGGGGGCTGGACTTGATGACTTCTCAAGCTCCCTTCCAGGCCTACATTTCTATGATTCACTAGTGTGGCAGGGGGGGTATGCATTCATACATACTCACTCACTGTCTTCTGGTACAGGCATATTAGTTACAGTTTTCTTCGGCCCTGTGGTCTTGATTTTTCCTCTAACTCAGGCCTGTTTTACAGCGGTGTAAGTATTAACTTCAGTGGAGTTACTTTTGATGTACACCACTATAAGATTTTGATCCTCTTCCCACTGGAGTCTGGCCAATTACTTCAATGGAGGGGTTGGACCTTTTGAGGGGTAAGAATCTGGTTTGTGTTTCAGCAAAGAATCAGGTTTGCGTATCAGTTGGTTCATGCTGGCAAACAGCAGCAATGGAAAATGCTCAAGACACTGATTGTTCTGTTTTCTCTGTACATTCTGGCTCAGCTGCATTTTAAGTTACTTTACTAATATTGGTCTAAACCCCATTTCAATGCAAGAGACTCAGCTGGCAGGGGAACAACAATCATGATGGATCAGAGCATTGAAAAAAATCTAGCCTCTTTGGTGCAGCCAGAATCAAAGAAACTTACTACTACTGTACCATCTTATGCTTTTGAGCCATATACTCAGCGGGAGTAGATCAACATAGCTGCATTGAGATGAATGGAGCTCTGCTGACTTACTTTAAGCAGGTGATCTGGCCCTCTGAATTTGAGAACCTAGTCAGTTTCACTTTACTCCTCTTCCCCCCTCCTGGCAGTGAAGCTGAAGGGGATCTCAAAATCTAAAGCAATATTTCCCACAACTTGAAATCTTTAATCTAGTCAGTTTCATTTTGCTGTCAGCCAGACATAGACAAAAGTGAAGAGAGAGGACCCCAAGAAAAGGAAGAGAAGCCAAAAAAGCAATTATAATGAGAAAACGCAATAGAGATCAAGGGGTAGGCGAGCAGAGAAAGTGGAGAGGAAATGGCTTTGAAAGCACAGTGCAGATATGACCCAGCTCTCAGGTTTGTTACACATCCACATCAATTCCTCTATTGGCAAAGCAGCATGAATGGTTTCAGATAACATCATTCCCACTGGCTCTAGTGGGCAAAGCACTGGGACGAGTTTCTAGTCCAAGTACTTGACCTCGGTTGTAGCTGCAGCTTTTGCTACTAGCTCACTGTGTGACCTTGGATGGTCCAACCCGCTGTGCCTCAATGTCTCCATCTCTAATACGGGGGAACATAATTATCCATCCCTGCATACCTCTGAGATCTTCAGATGAAAAGTGCAATATAAAAGGAAAAGGTCTTGTCACCACTAGAAAAGGTTTGCCCATATAGCTATCCAGTAAACTCTCCTAGTGGAAATACAGTTTATACTGGCGAAGTTCTACTTCTAGTTAAACCAGTTTCCCCGAACAGAATTCACCATACTGGTAAAAGACTGTTTTGCTGTATAACTGTCTACACTAGGGCTTTTGTTGACGTACACATGACAGTTACAGGTTCAATTTTTCACTCTCCTGATGCTGCTATGCTGCCAAAACCTGTAAGTCTAGACTAGGTCTCAATTCTTTCCCATTCTCCAGTAAGTTGGAAATTATTGGTTTTCTACATGAGATTTCTCCCCTTCTTTAAGTGAGGAAAGCAAGAAGTGGGATTGTGATTAACCAAGCCTGGGCTGGTAAGGGCCCGATGGTCCTTTTATGGTGTTTTCCATTCTTACTTCAAAGGAGGAGTGTCTTTTCAAAT